AAAGAACTGTAAATCCTCCAAAACAACTTCCACCCATTTGTGTACTAGTCTAAACTCTGCTTAGCGATGTCAACAAGACATTCAGCACCACACAAACACACCCAAAACACTTCACCCTATTTTGAAACAGGATACTGAATCTTAGGTCTGGCCTTACATTCATCTAGACAAGAACTAGGGTTGGGGGCTGCCAACTCAGCTCCCATGGGTGTGATGGCACCAGTGCCTTTTTTCTGGGGGGACACAGAACATTTTGTAAAATCTAAACATTTTGGCCACATTGAGCGGCAGTATTTCAATATGAGTAGGAAAATGAGAGTACCGCTAAACATTTTTAAAGAAAAAAAGCACTGGATGGTACTCATGAAGGACTTATTTGGTGCCCCCAGGATAATCTCTCTGATTTACAGCTTTCATTTTTCACTTGTGGTCTGTAAGTAATCAGCTAGCTTCAGCCACAGTTTGAGCTATACCAGTCTCTCGTACAACGAAGATAAGCCTCCTTGTATGGAAACAGAACACTGGCATGGGGTGGAAGATAGGAAGGGAGGAAACAGGAGACAAAATTAAGTGGAAATACACCCACAACAATCCAATTCTGGGTTCTTTAAACCATTAGCCATGATCCCTTATTTGTCACTGAAAAGAGAGGAATCGTCTTCCAAGTCCTGCGGTCAGTTATGTCATCATGATAAAGGAGGCGGGGGGGGGGGGGGAATTGAGGCCAGGGGGAAGCAATAAAGTTTGCATGAAAAATGAAGAACTTAATTGAATCTATTATTTTTCTGACAGCTGTATAGACATACATATGATCTCTTTGACCATATGAAATTTGAATCTGAACTATGCTAAAACACTTTAGAATGTATTAAAGAACTGTAAATCCTCTAAAACAACATCCACCCATTTGCGTACTTGTCTAAACTCTGCTTAGAGATGTCAACAAGACATTCAGCACCACACAAACACACCCAAAACGCTTCACCCTACAGGGCAGGTACGTCCAAAACGGCTATCTAGGTTTAGGATGAGGTGCAAACAAGACCGAGAAGGGGACCTTTCAGCCCCCGGAAACTGGCACTATAATACACCTGCCCATTTTAACAGTTCCTTCTTTGAGCCAGAGAACGGGAAGTCGCCGTCTGGCTTCCTCGCGAGGGGAAGAGGGACGCGCGACTTGTACCTGGAGGTGCCCTACGGGGGGGGGGTAAACAAGCGGGGGAAACGGCCCTCCAAGGGCCCAAGGAGAGGCCGCTCCGGCCCCTGCCTCCAACCAAGACCAGGACCAGGGAGGAAGCAAGAGCCGAGGCCCCCCTCACCCGCCACGACCCGGCCCGGAAGGGCCTCCTTGCTTACGCGTAGCGGGAGATGGCGAAGGCGTCGCGGTGGGCTCTATCCCTGTCACCGGGCGGCACCACAGCAAGAAGCAGCACGGCAGGCAGAAGGCCCAGAGCCGTCGCCGCCGCGGTTGCCAAGACCGCGCGGCCGCCTCCCGCTCCATCATCTTCCTTCCCTCACGGCGGGCCTGCGCGGCCCCGTCCACTCCCCTCCTCAGGTGATTTAAGGAACAGATCGGTCCTTCTCTTGCGCAAGCGCACTCCCACCCGCTGCCTCAGGGCGAGCAACGGCACAGTCTCGTGCACGACTTCCTCGCTCCGCCCACTTCCCTCTGAGGCACCTATGGAGAGGGTGAAGCTGGGAGTCCCGCCCGCTCCCGTGCTTTTCGCTCCTCCCTCGGAAGCCGAGGCCCGCCCCTTTCTGCCCGCCTCCTCATGCGCCCGCTTTCCCAAACAGGTTCCGAGTCCTGGATAACTGAGGGCACCTGCCGAATAGTTTCTCCAGCCCTGGCTCGGTGGTTGGTTGCGAAGGCCTGTCCATCTGGTCCTCAGTACGAATAGGCCACGCCCCTTCCCCGGCGCTCTTCTCAAGCGCTTTTTTTGCAGGGGCCAGAATCTTTCAGCTGCCATGTTTTTTGCTTGCCCGATGGAGCGCGTGTGCGGAATGCTGTGACGCATTTCGTTTATTATATCTATATGCCATCTTTTCCTCTAAGGAGCTCAAGGGGGTCTCTCCCAATTTTATTCTCGCAGCAACCCTGTGAGGTAGATTAGGCTGAGACAGTGGCTGGCCCACCCTTACCTAGTGAGCCATCATGTCTGAGTTGGGGTTTGAACCCTGGTCTCTCGGGCCATAATCCAGCGCTCTAACCAATTACACCACACGTTGTCTCACTGTGGAGCTGGAGTATTGCTTACAGTACAAAGCAAAGAATCCCATCCATTGCTCAACCCACTTTTGCCTTGGCCATGCCCTGCATCAGCAGGTAGCCCCCGAAGTCAGTCTACACATGAAGATTGCCCTTGGACTCAGAAGGTTTCTCCATCCCTGCACTCTACAGTATATAGTACAAACGTGTAATGGGGCCCCCACTTTCCTTTCCAGTGAGCCCTCGTCTGCTTTGAAGCATTGACAAGAAATGCCACATGCATTTCATAAAATTGAAGGTTGAGTGTTATTAGTTTTTTTGAAGGCTGAAATCCCTTGCATACTTGAAGGCCACTGAACACTATGACTTACTTCCAAGTTGCAACTTAACGTGCACTTGTGCGCATTCAGCGCTCGGCATAAATAATAAAGGGTAGAAAGGAAGTAGATGTCCAGGGCGGGGTGAGGCTTTGGCAATCCCACCCACAATTGCACCCAATGTGTTTCGTCTATACACGGTTTTGGCTTTAGCCACGATTCCCTGAATGTAACTCCCATGTAAGTTGCGGGCTTACTGTATATTATTTAAACAGTGACCAATGAGTAGGACATGCTTTGTGTGCAGAGATAGCCCTGTTGGTTCATAGGTGCCAGTTCTTATGTGTACTTTAGAGATCTGAGACCAAACATTTCCCCCCATAGACACATCCTTCTACTTCCACCCATTTTTACCCTCATAGTAATGGAAGGAGACATCTCAGCAAACATGCTGGATTTGGTTTGACTACACATTTCAGTTCCTGGGATCTCTCTTCAAGACTGCAGATGTGGGTTCAGAATACTGCCACCTCATTTATAATGTTTGTCCTCACTGTAAATATGTTCCTTAGTAGTACAAATCTACACTCATTTAACTGGATGTGTCCCATTCATCTTATTTAGGCTTACTTCCCAGTAGATGTGTATAGGGTTACAGTTAGTTACTGAAGTTTGCTTAGAGGGCAATCAAGCAGCCATTGTACTAGAGAGCCCTGAGCTTTTATGCTCTCTGAACTGATCAATATTCAAAACTAGCTATAGAAATAAGCCACAGTTGCACAATACCATCTTTAATTAAAAATACATACTTTCTTTTACAAAAAAAAATGTAAACCATAACGAAGCATAACTAAATGCCAAAAGGAGAATTCTACATTGGCAACCCTGAAAAAATGGATACATATTCATGCGGAACACAAGAACAGAAATGGAAAAATTGTTTTCTGTAACAACTATTGAAATTCACATTTTTCTCTTGGTACAAGCTAAACAAGATCAAAGTTCAAGAAACAGCTTACAATTAAAATAAAATCCACTGGCTTTTGCATACAGAAGCAGGATCAGAATTTTTAATAGGTATGCATTTTTGGGTAACCTTGTATTTAAAAGATAATGGACAACAGCTAATACATTTGGCTTGTAGCACCAATAGTACCAGTCAAAAAAATAATAATGTTAAGGCAAGCACACAACACGAAACTAAAAAAAAAAAAGTTACCAGTTTGAAAATACAAACATCTAGGCTAAGTTCCTGTAGCAGATGGCTTTAAAACAAAAGAACCACATGTAGAATTATGACTGAACCATGTGGTACTATTGTTTGAAGCTCTCAGCATCATTCATGCACAGTGGAGGCTGCCACCCTTCCTTTGCTGACTGAAATTTCATATACAGCATAAGGTGTTGATTTTGGGTGCATCTCACAGAACTGCAGCAGAAAGCACAAAGCAGGAATCATATGAGATCAGACAGAGAAATCTTGCACTCAGTGGAGCTCTACTGGAGCAAGATTTTTGTGTCTGATTTTAGGTAATTTGCCCTTCATACTGCCGTTCTGAGTGGCACAACCCATGCTGATCATCTGGAGAGGCTTTTTAAGAGTCTAGGGGGCTTCAGTGGAAGGAGGTTTGGTTCTTTAAGCTGCCTTCCACTTGCACATCACTGGACACAAATCAATGTTAAATCAAGAACTGGTACATCGGAAGGAAGGGAAGAAAAAGAAAGATGCACAGCACATTTTTAAATTTCAAAATGCCTATGAAAGAATCACAGGATCTTCAACAAAACAAGCAAGTGGATATATAACCTCTGAAAAGGAAAGGAAAAGGGAACGCAATTATTTCATTTTCTAGCATCATTGATATTATACCTCTGTCAACAACTGTACATAAAAGTTAAGGCCTGCCTCATACTTTGGGAATTCATCAATCACATGAGCGGTGAATGTCTGAAGCAAACTGAATTCACCACATGTGGTGAATTTTTACATAGTGCAACTGCAAAGCACTTATCAAAGCTTTCAATTTTCACCTGTAAACAAATCAATAGGACACTGCTGCTCCTAATCCCCATAGACTTCAAAGTAGCCGGGTTTCAGTGAATTTCTGAATCAAAACAAAAACTCTCCTGTGACTCGGGATTGATCTACCTAAAATTTTAATCACAGTAAGCATCAGTATGGAACACATCGCAGAAACTGGGTTTAGAGGAATGCAAATTGTAAAACGAGATCCTGAGTTTTCTTCAGCTTACGCTTCTGCTGCTTAAAGAAAAAGAGAATTTTTGCAGGCACCCAGTTCGAAAGATGAAAAATTCTCTCTATAAATGGAATGTTGATAAGTGCTTTGATTTGAGCATATTTTTACATATATATATAGCCCTAACAAACTAAGAAAACCAGGTTTTCCTTCAGCTAAAACAAATGTGTAAAGGCTTGGTTTCCAGAGTATGTTCAGAACCATTTGTGGATTTTTTAAAAAAAGGAATAGCTCAAACTACATGCTCCATACTTCTGAATACTTAAAATAAACCTTGATAGTTGATACCTGCTAGTATTCTTTTCATTATCCAAAAGGCATAAATACCACCAAGTGGGGAAAAATTACCTGAATACAAGCCAAATACCTGATTCCTAATGAATAGGGGGAAAGACCAAGGTCAGAGATGTAGAAGTCTGACCTACATGAAAAGCTGCAGCACCAGAAGTCCTTTAAAAAAAAGTCAAGTCAAACACTGCCTCTAACAATAATCTCATCTTCAAAATTATTTATAGAAAAATACTGTGAAATCACTAGTGTTACTATTAATTCAGGGGCCCATTTTCAATACAGCAAACCATAAAAATAATCCTAATTTAGTAACACAGTCTAAAGCTCAAAGGGCATTGCTAAGCAAACAATGAATACAGTGCAGCAGATTTCATTCGAACTTATAAGGTGTTTAAAATAATTCTGATTTTTTTTTAAAGTTACAGCAACAGGAATTTTGGTTATCCAAAAATCCTTGTTATAAATAAATAACCCAGAAAGCCCAATATAACTATATATCAAAATATAATAGCATTCTATGGCCCCATTTAAAGAGGTATCACTCCAGTTTAAAGAGTCATGGCTTCCTCCTGAAGGGAACTGTAGTTTGTTAAGGGTGCTGAGAGTTGTTAGGAGACCCCGATCCTGCTTTAAATGTCTAGTGCAGAGGGGACCTATTAATATAGATTTCTAGTATTGGTGAACTTTAGATAATTCCAAGACTATTTGAATTATCAGTATTGTACTACGTAAAATTTAATTGTAAATGGATTCTGGTCACCTCCTATGTTTAAAAAGAGAAAGATGTAGCATTTAAGAAATATCACCTAAACCTAAAAGCAAATGCAGGCTATGCTATTGCAATGGGGGGAATTATTACAATGAATCATCAACATCCCTAAGTTTATCATTTTCAAAAAGTACAAAATGGCTATCTTTGAATGATCTTATTAAAATCTGGTTGTTTTAGATTAGGTGTAAATTTATGGAAAGTCACAAATATTATTGATGTTCACTTTATGCTTTCAGTTTTTATTATATTGAATAATGCTGCTTATATACATATTTCTTTTTATTTAAAGGTGATTCTTTTAATAATTAAACAAAACAAATGTTTCTAAATAAGCAAAAAACAAAACAAAATGGCTATCGGTAAACATTGTTACAGCCCAGGCATTTTTGAATTAGGTAAAAATTTGGACTGACAATAAATACTTAAAAATGAAAGTTTCAAGCACTGGGTTATAAACACCAGCAGGCATGTTTTTTTCCAGTAGTACAATTCATGGAAGAAACTAGTTCAAAATATAAAAAGCAAAAAGGTCCCAGTCTTTAATTTACCTATGAATTCACATGCCACCAGTTTTAATGAGAACTAGAAACTTGTGAACAGCTTCAATATCAAAACAAGTAGAATTCTAATATTATGGCTCACTTACCTAACTACATTCCTATCTCTGCAGTATTCCTAGATAGAGAAATTGGAAAAGCTATCAAGTTACAATAGCAATTTTTTCCCACCTAGCCTTGTAAAACATTTTTAGATGTCTCCGAGGGAATGGGGAAAACAGTTCACCTGCAGTGCCTTGGCGAAGGAGAGAACGAGCAGGTGCTTGGCTTCTCCAGCTTATCATTTAGGAAGCGTGTGTAACAACCGGAATGTCAATTTCAATGGCAGAGTGGCGTGACCGTGCAGAATAAGGTTGGGAGGCGTAACTATGCACACTGGGCGCATGAGGATACAGAGGCTGCCAGAAAGGGGAAGGAAGCGTTTTGCATGCACAATACCAAAGGAATAAGAGGATGGCTGTAAACAGTAAGCCTCCTGCACTGGCAATGGCAATAAACACAGAGATGTCAAAGGAAAAAACCGGTTCGTATTTCTTGTTCAGTTCTTGGTTATGAAAGATGACCCAGATAGATGGCGTCAGGCAAATGACACATGCAAGAAGAAAGAAGAGGCCGGCCACAAGATGGCAGCCCGCACTGTTTATGAGACATCTGGCCTGCTTGATGTTGGGCACTGTGGTTATGAAGGCGGTATTACACATGCCGATCAAACAGAGAAACAGAGCCAAGACAGTGGTTAACATGCTGATGGGGAGAGCAAACTGGAGGACGCGTAAATCCAGCTGGTCAACTGCTGTGTACCACTCGGTGTCGTAGATGACGCAGTCTTTGCTGCCATCAAAGCGAACACACTTAATCCAGAGCCCAGTGTACACGGTGACATTCTTCTCATTCTTGTTATAGGTGAAGAGTCGCATCTGTCTCCAGTTAGGCAGCAGAGCGGCGGCAATAAGTCCAGATAAGGCAGCTGTACCAGAAAGGAAGGCGAGGACGGTCGCAGCATGGACATCACGGCAACCCATCTTAGCCAACAAAAATGCCTCCTGGGGGGGGGAACTTTACTAAATCATCAAGATTTATTATCTGGATAGCTGTTTTTACGATAATTTTATTGTTTTACTCTGTTCGTAAACCACTGTGATCGTTTTTTTAAAAAAATCAATGAGTCTATAAATTGTATGAGATAAAGAAATAATAAAGAAATATTCTGATCGACCCCTTTTTTTCACCATAATGAGGGAGAAATGACTGACATATAAATTAAACTGAATTCTGAAGAAGGCACATTGGCGCTTGGGTTGTGCAGGAGGCTCTGCTCCAATGGGCCACTCTTATTAAATAATACTTTTTTTCAGAATCAGAAGCTACTTGTGGGTAATTAAAAAACAGCAGGCGTAGCTGGTATAGCAAAGGGGATCCAGTCTACCTTGTTTGTCATTCCCTGGGCCTCTCACCAAACTATCCAGCTATAGTTAGGTTATAGCTAGGTTTCATGCTTATTTAATAATGTGTGTGAAGAGGGGAGGGATCCTGCAACCATAATACAGAGTCTTTTGCATGCTGATAAGGATCAAATTAAGTTGATAAAGATCTAAGCTGAGAATAAGTCTTTACAGACATCAGCACTTATTATGTATGATCAGAGATTAATGTCTTAATATGCCTTCAGTTTCATGTTGGGAGAAGCTCTTTCTAAAGCAGCGTTTCCCAAACATTTTTCGCTCATGGACCATTTGAAATTTGCTGAGAGTATTGGTGGGTGACAATTATTTTTCTGCCTGGTGTAGCCATTGTGCTAGATGCTGTATGATTTTTAATTGTATTTGTATCTGCTTCTTTTTTATATTTTGTATTTTATTGCATTCCACAGAATTCAACTTGTAATAAAAATACAATACATACAACGTAAAAGAAGCAATACAAATAAAAATCACCACAAATATTTAAAGAGATTGATATGTCATCTCCCATCTTCAGTCGGAAATCCACAGACGGCCACAGACCACATGACTGAAACTCAGACCAGATTTCACTTGTGGTGTAACAATTACCATGGACAATATGGACTGATATAAAAGTTAGAGTTTGGAAGAAGATGCAGTTTTAAATATTTAAATCAGGGCTCCAGGGAAGGGGTTGGGGGAAGTCCTGAGATTCAGAGAAATCTCTGTATATGGATATGTAATTGGATTTTAATTTTTTAAAATTTTGTATTGGAAAAATAAAGTAATTAAAAATAAATAAACTCAGACTAGTTTGGGAACCCCTATTCTAAAGGCTTAGAAGAACAAACTTACCAAGAGATTTAACCAAATCCAGAATAACAGCAGAACTCTTGCAAGTAGTAGAACAATTCTAGTAGATCTAGGGGGGGAACACAACAAATTAATTCTGGAGAAGATACAACTACAACAGATATAACAAACTAGTCTTCACTTATATAAAGCTTCAAACCCCTTCATTATTGTCACAATTAACATGCAGGAGTGAACCACTGCTATAGAGATTGGACAGAAGGAACAGGGGCCAAGATGAATTCCTCAGAGTTAACTTGGATGGAGCCAGCTTCCCTTATTGCACAATACCAGTTTTTTACATAGGGGAATATTCAGTAATAGTTGACCTCCAAAAGTGCTAAGCCTGTAGGAAGGACTTCCATCAACACATCTTCATACTCAACTCTCCCCAAACTAAGACAGTGTTACATTTCTTCCTATGAGTCGTCAAAAGAGAAAAGTTTTGCTATTTTTCTACCTTTGCTCCTCAATACCTATCCTAAGGGCACATGACAGTATTGCAGAACACTCTGCACCCAAAAGTGTTGTACAGATGAGTAATACTTTTTTATGAGATACAAGCCTGGCTCGGATCTTCTGCATGTGCAAGTCATTTATGTACAAAGGGAGGCTGCAGACTTCACCCGAGGTGCTCAAATTCACATCTATGTTGTGCTTCTCATACATATGTAGGCAACACTCCAGGTGATCAGAAACCATATTTCTTCAGCATTCCTGACTGCGTGGAGTGTTGTATATATGCACTGCAGACGTGCACTTAATTGTGCATATGGTACAACATGCTGCCCTCTACATGTAAGATCTAACCTTAAATATGAAAAGCCAGTGCTTAATATCAGCTTTTAAAAACATAGTGCAGTTGCCAATCTTTATCTGGCAAGGATCATGCATCTCTAACAGTTACACAAGAAGAAATTCAACTGGTTAAGTTTCTTCTATCCCTTCAAAGCTGGGGAAGGCTTTACAAGCTGAGCTTGGGTTTAATCACCATAGTTCATAATTAGAAGGATGCAAGATCAATTTGAGAATGTAGAGGGAACCACATATGATGTGCATTGATTCATTTATGCGCTAATAACTGGGTCAGCACTTGTGATAAGTGTATTTGAACATAACGTGATGTTTATCCTGGTTATACTGTGGCCAGCATCTGAACTGTTTCACCTTCAATTATGCGTTATTGTACTCAAGGAAGGTGAGAAGCCGATTGTAATCACTGATTTGAAACCTTCAAAAACACTGTACAGAAACTATAAAAAGACAGTCACTTTGCTTGCGTTACTAATGATGACTAAAGAGATGGAACAACTCACAAGCAAGCCCCAGTGTGTGGGCTAAACTGTGACTCAGGGCATAATAAGTATCAAACCATTTGAAATACAAACACAAAGAGAAGAACGTAAGAAGACCTGGATCAGAACAAAGGTCTGTTCAATTGAGTGTCCACAGTGATCAAGCACATGAATCGCACAAGCAGGACACGAGAACTCTCCCCTTTTGTGATTCCCAGAAATTGGTGAGGTGTGTTGACTCAAAAACCTGAAGGCTGCATATAGCCATCATGAATAGCAGCCACTGGTAATTTTTTCTTCCATGAATATTTCTGATCCCATTTTAAAACAATCTGAGATAGATGCCATCGCCATATCAAGCAGGCTGCAGAAGATCCCACAAAATAATTATGGGTTGTTTGAAGAACCACTTCCTTTGCGCTGCCCGGAATCTCCTATTGATCGCCCCATGTTCGAGTGTTCACCCCAAACCAGAGTATCAGAGAAGGAGCAATTCATTCATTTATTTTTAAAGGCAATATTTCACGCCAGGTGTTTTTATGTTCATGCCATCGATCTTTAGGGTGTATTCTAATACTTATCTGGGAGTAAGCACCATTGAACTCACTGAGACTTCCTTCTGAGCAGATATGCATAGGACTGTGCTGTTAAAATACATCTACGCCGAAGTAAATCCCATCTATTTCAATGGAAATTACACCTTATCGGTCCGTAGTGACGTATGATTCTAATGAAATCCAGCCTATCTGGATGGAGCAATGGCTCACATATAAATAAACGCAGAAGGAGAGATTGTCTCCCCCGTACTCACCCCCTTCCCAAGCTCGAGGGACTTAATTTTCAAGCATCCAATTTCTCTTCCCCCTCTTGTTGACGCTAAGGATTCCCAGTCTCGGCTTTTCAGGAAGCGGCTGCCTTTTCCAGGTGTGCCCAAAGGCTTCTGGGATTGTAGTCTCCGCCTGCAATGCTCTTCGTTTCACCTTCCTCTCTAAAGACTACAATTCCCAGAGATCACTCTTCCTACTCTATTGTTCCGGGTGCTTCCTCTTTCTGATTGTATTTCAAGTTGTTTTCTCCAGCTCCATCACGCGTTACTGGAAAGGAACTGATGCTGGAATAGGACACTGCATCTCTTCAGAGGCTTCTTGGTTACCAGTTTTCTCTTACCCTTTTGAATAGGCCGGCTGCTGCGCAATGTATATATTCTCTGCCTCTCTTTTTAAGAATTACGTGTCCAACTTTCCCCTAAAGCATAATAATGGATGCCTGATCTCAAAACTCTGCTTTCTTAAAAAGTCTCAGCTACAGCATTTTGAGAAGGCAGCTTTTAAGACCTGGCTATCACTATCCACCTGTGAGTCTGACCTGGAAACTCAAATCTTAAGCAGCAAAATTGCAGCCAAATTCCAAAACACGACATATCCAGCTAAGCACGTTCAAGGGGATGTGGGGTTATTATTCCCGTCTGAATCCCCCTCCCAAGCTGTTTCTGATACAACTTGACAGGGGTGGGGAGAGAGGAGAGGATATGTTAGAAGCCACCCAGAGTGGCTGGGGCAACCCAGTATAAGTAATAAATTTGTTATTACTACTACTAATAATAATTCCCACCCTACAGTACAATCTTACACCCACACAAGTAGAATTTCACTTCTGATGTAATCCTTTGGAACCCAGCTGCTAGCTTTCATATATATATTATTCACCACAGCATTCCAAACATCATTGTTGCTTTAAAAGCCTCATTTTCCTGTGATCTGTTTATTTTTAATGTGAAGGTTGGCAGTAGCAATATTAGGTGAGGAACTGTGAAAGGAAGCAGGAGGGAAACCAGGACCAGTGCTATTTATTCCTTGGGCATCATTGCAGTAGATTATTCAGGACCATATTAGGAAGCCATCCCAAAGCTGATCTGATTATGTGGGAAGAATTAGTGGCCTTTGCTTCCTTTCCAGTTCAGTTGCAGCCATCTCTAATCAACCATTTTTAGTGTCCCTGCTCAAAAGAGGCGAGGAGTTCAGTCTAATTTAGGCAGACATAATTTATTCTGATCAAGAATGTATAATTCCGTAGAGCAAAATTTGAGTTTTGTTTATCTTCGATTGTCTATGGCTGTAGAAGTGACAAACATTCACCATTTACATGTCTGTTCCACTAAAAGGCAATCTTTGCCAGCCACTATGTTTTTGCCACTTTTGTCTAACTCTTTTATCTCTTCCCTTTTCCTCTGTTCATCTTTGGTGCATCCAGGATAGAGACTATGTCATTGCCATGCTTCAACTTAGCACTGCTACTGATAAATCACTTTACAGTCTTGGTGATTTTAAATATTTCTGCCCAAAATATTTCAGGAAAGCGAACACATGTAGTTTTATACGTTCTTCTCCTGCACTGATTGAAGGATGCCACTCTTGAAATCTCTAGTAAACGATAACAAAAATAATACCTTATTATCTTTATATAAAATTACATGTTTATTTACATCTTTTGAAATATATTCTACAACTTAATTAAGAGGGTTGTGCAACTTGAAGACGTTGTAAAATATCATGATACACTTTTCTGTATTTTACAGAAACTGGAAAATAACATACTCTCTTTTCTTTTTGAAATGGTTGACCTGAAAGAGGTCTATTGATATTAATATTATATAATAGTTTGTGTGTGTTAAGAAACTGCTATATTTCTGAGCTCCTCAGTGCACGAAGCTGCTGGTTCTGATGATCTTCAATCTTCTTCTCTGATTCTTCATCTAGTACTTTTCTTAAACACATGATCAGTTCTTCAATTCCTTCACCAGAGTGTGCAGATATAGGGATGATCTCTTTGAAGTTGACAATGACTTCTGGAATCATATTTTTTGGAAGAGTGTGCATATAATCTGAAATATAGATATAATTAGAGTTACTACACATAGTAACTCTAGCCAGTATAAAACACATAGCCAGTATAAAATTTGCTATGGATGGATTTCAGTTAAATAGATGCTTGATGTGATAGCAGTAGCAGAGTTGTTTGAAGATATTCCATTCCAAGGAAGTCAGGGTAATTGGTTTTTGGACTGCCAAGATGTTAGGAGAGGACAATAGACGTGGCTGTTGGCCCAGAAGACTTCCTAACTGCATTTACTGACAGAGTAGATGACTGGCTTGCATTCCATTCTTCTTCTAAGGCTCTTATCTGCTGGATAGCCCAGTTAGTAGAGCACGAGTCTCTTAACCTCAAGGTTATGGATTCGAGCCCCAGCTTGGGTGAAATATTCCTTCATTGCAGGGGGCCAGACTAGATTGACTCTCACAGTTCCTTTCAACTCTACAATTCTATGACACTAGCATTTTAGCATCATTACAGTTCTAGGCCAGTATGAAAGACAACATAGTTTGGTTATACAGTATTTTACTTTAAAATACAATCAATATACTGAAAAATGTTTCTTCTTTTGCAGTAATAAAAACTCACTACTTGCTACATATCAAAGATATATGAATATGTTATCTTAAAAAAGGAGCTGTACAGTAAGTATCTCACCTTGAGGACTCTGCAGTTGTTCCATAAACTCATTCAATTTTTCTCGTGCATTGGGCAAATCCATTTTATTAACAGCCAGAAGTGCAGATTTAGTTCGAAGTTCTTCTTTATATAGTTCCAGCTCCTGCGACATAAGTCCAGTTTCCATTTGTAAAATATTGTCGTTGAAAGTATTTGGCTTTATACAAGCCTTTTCATTTAACTCTTAATTACTAGACAATACATATGCAAACCAGAGCAGGGAGGGCCACATTCCCTTTTAAACAACCTCTCAAGACCACATGACAGGGTTCAGCAGGCCCAGAGGCAAAATCAAGGGGAGTAATGAAGGTACATTTAACCTTTCACACATTACTGATTACTACTGTCTACCATGTGTACACAGTAACAATACACAACCACAATTTAAATAGAAGACGTGACTGCATCACATGACTGGCTTCTCCCTCCTGTCTTGCCCCATGCTCCAGTCCTAGATGCCTTCATAATGGAGCTGTTTCCAGAGGAAGAACTGTGAGAGGAGAAAGACTCTGCTTGCCATCAGGGGGTAGTTGGTTTCATCTGTACTGCCCTACCTCCAGCCCGAGGAAGAATAACAATAACAATAACAACAACAACAATAATAATAATAGTTGTTGTTGTTTATTTATACCCCATCCATCTGGCTGGGTTTCCCCAGCCACTCTGGGCGGCTTCCAACAAAGATTAAAAATACATTAAAACATCAGTCATTAAAATCTTCCCTAAACAGGGCTGCCTGTCTTCTAAATGTCTTCTAAAAGTCAGATAATTGTTTATCTCTTTGACATCTAATGGGAGGGTGTTCCACAAAGCGGGAGCCACAAGGCGGAAGCCTCCCTTCAGAAGGGAGTTGTTGCCATGGGCATTATGTGTACACGTAGTTTTAATGAGCTGACTGGAGTAAAAAAATTATGAGTCATGGGTGTGTGGAGTGTGTGTATGAACTTAACAGTGCTTAGTTTATTTTTGACTGCTATTTTGTTGATGTTGTTAATATTGTTTTGTAGATTATAAATGCTGCAGTGACTTATTGATCATATAACTTGCTTTGATTTAGATGTTTAGCTTTGTTTTGTTTTGTTTTTTGTTAACGGAACTTTATAGGTTGTAATTGTTTCACTGATTATTTGTGATGTTTTATTAAGTTCTATCATGTTATTATACGTTGTTTCTAAGCCGCTTTGGGATTCCTTTGAATGAAAAGCAGCATAGAAATATAATAAATCAAACCACAGCTGTCTGGTGAATATTATCATGTGGAATTAAGCACATGAAGCCAATATAAATGTGACAATGTACACTTGGGAGCACATGAGCCTCTCAAGTATAAATTCCTAAGAGACCGTACAATTGGAATTCACAACTGTTCATGTGCATCACAAATTTTGTTACCTATGTGTTTTCTATTTGATAACAGGAAGCAATCTTGAAGACTAAACTGTTTGGCTTCTCACTGCCTTCTGAACGGGAGAAATTTCCACCATACAGTTGAAAATGGAGTTAGTGAAGAACAAAGTGCCAAACACTATGTTAACAGCTCTCCCTAGAAGTATTTGGAAACTTCCAAATCTCAAACATCTTGGATACAGTTATCAAGTTTGTAGCTTTAATAGGTGTGCCATTCAAGTAAACATTTCAAATCAAATCTTAATTAGGTCTCTCATGTCAGAACATGTGTGTCGCAATATGCACAAATCATGCCTGTATATAAAAGAATCAGTACACTTACCTTTGCAAGTAGTATTACAGTTTCAAAGGCTGTTCTGAATGGGCTTGTAGGAGAAAGCTGAAACCCAGCTACATCAACCTGAAAGATTGACATTTTTTTTTAATCAGACAATCAAATGCTTTCTCACATGATTATCCTTCACTTTCCAAGAGACCATGAAGATGACAGGAAGCGTGGGAGTGATGGCAGTGAGGTGGCTGTTATACACAAAACATTTCTGCCCCCAAAATAGCATCCTTTCTGCTATATCTGAACAGTTTCCAATTCACAGAAACAATCTGTTTGCTGGGCTCTCCCAGTTTGTGTCGGGCCCCACACATCAAGCAGGCCACACGCTGGATTTGATCTTTGGCGCCGGTATAGATGTGATCATGTCTCCTTCAATGAAGGTGCCATGGTCTGATCACTACGCACTGAAAGCCAGGATTGATTTTCCACCCCCACCCTGCTTAGGTGGTGAGCCAATTTGGGCTCGCCCGCAGAGGCTGATGGACCCTGATAGATTCCGTCAGGCCTTGCGGGACCTTGCTCCCCCTGGCGACTCATTGACTGAGCTTGTTGAGGGCTGGAATATCCAGCTCCTAGCAGCCATCGATGAGATCGCACCTAGGCGCCCTCTGCGATCCCGCAGAAACCGGGCTCCCTGGTTTACCGAGGAGCTTCGGAAAATGAAGCGGGACCTCAGACGGCTAGAGCGAATATGGCGGGGTGCCCGTGACGGAGCCTCAAGAACATCTTATAGGGTTTTTATGAAAACCTACGAGATGGCAGTGAAGGCCGCTAAGAAGTCCTACTTCTCGGCCTCCATTGCCTCCGCTAGCTCTCGCCCGGCGCAATTTAGTATAATTAGGTCTTTAACGTCCCTTGAAGGACAGCCAAATTTAAATAACAATTCGACACACAGCTGTGAGGCATTTGCGAGCTTTTTTGCGGAGAAGGTCCTGTTGCTCCGCCATGACCTCCCTGCCAATTTGGATACAATAAAGGAACTGGAGGCCCCTCGACTGTCCTCGGGTCCAGTATTGGACCACTTTGACCGGATATCCCCAGCCGATGTGGACAGACTCCTCCAAGCTGGAAAGCCCACCACCTGTCCTCTTGACCCGTGCCCGTCTTGGCTGATTAGAGCATGTCCAGACGAGGTGCGGGCCCCCCTGGGTGATATCATCAATTTGTCCCTTGGCACCGGGATATTCCCAGGGGAACTGAAGGCGGCAGTGGTGCGTCCGCTCTTAAAGAAAACATCATTAGATCCTTTAGATCTATCCAATTACCGCCCGGTTTCGAATCTTCCATTCCTGGGTAAGGTGATTGAGAGAGCGGTTGCTGAACAGCTTGGTAGGTTTCTGGATGAAACATCGGCTCTCGATCCATTCCAGTCCGGCTTCCGCGCTGGCCATGGGAACGAGACGGCTCTGGTCGCCCTAACAGATGATCTCCGCAGGCAGCTGGATTGAGGCGGGTCGGGGCTGCTGATTCTTCTAGACCTGTCAGCAGCCTTTGACATGGTCGATCACAAACTCCTGGACCACCGCCTTGCCGACGTGGGGATTCAGGGCACAGTCCTTCAATGGCTGCGCTCGTTTCTCTCTGGTCGGGGACAGAGGGTGGCGCTTGGGGGGGAATTGTCATCGCGCCACTCCCTGGTGTGTGGAGTGCCTCAGGGTGCGATTTTCTCCCCGATGCTTTTTAACATCTTTATGCGCCCCCTCGCCCAGCTTGTCCGGAGTTTTGGGCTGGGTTGCCATCAGTATGCCGATGACACCCAACTCTATCTGTTGATGGACGGCCATCCTGACTCGGCCCCAGATACACTGACCAGATGTCTGGAAGCTGTGGCTGGATGGTTTCGTGGGAGCCGGTTGAAGTTAAATCCTTCGAAGACAGAGGTCCTCTGGCTGGGACGGAGCGATTTGGGATTGAGGAGGCAACTCCCATCTCTTGCGGGGGTGCAATTAGTGCCAACATCGTCCGTTAAGAGTTTGGGTGTAATCTTCGATACCTCCCTCTCTATGGAGGCGCAGATTACAGCTATAACAAAGGCGGCATTTTTTCATCTCCGCCAGGCTAGGCAGTTGGCTCCTTATCTCTCTCGCCCTGACCTAGCCACTGTGATCCATGCGACGGTCACCTGCAGACTGGATTATTGTAACTCGCTCTACGTGGGGCTGCCCTTGAGACTGACCCAGAAACTCCAGCGGGTGCAGAATGCCGCGGCGAGACTCCTTACGGGGTCTTCGCTACGAGATCATATCCATCCGGTATTATACCAGCTGCACTGGCTCCCGGTGGAGTACAGGATCAGGTTTAAGGTGCTGGTTTTAACCTTTAAAGCCCTATACGGCCTAGGACCCTCGTACCTACGGGACCGCCTCTCCTGGTATGTCCCACAGAGAAATCTACGGTCTGCAAATAAAAACATCCTAAAGATCCCAGGCCACAGAGAGGTTAGGCTGGCCTCAACTAGAGCCAGGGCCTTCTCGGCCGCGGCTCCAATCTGGTGGAACGCTCTGTCACAAGAGACTAGGGCCCTGCAGGACCTGACATCCTTCCGCAGGGCCTGCAAGACAGAGCTGTTCCACCAGGCCTTTGGTCAGGGCGCAGCCTGACCCCCTCCTCTGGCAATCGGCAATCTGCACAGAATTTTGCTTGATGGTTGCCATTAATTTGACTTTAATTTGATTTGATTAATTTTATAATGAATGTTTTAGAATGTTGTTAGCCGCCCTGAGCCCAGCTTCGGCAGGGGAGGGCGAGATATAAATAAAATTTATTATTATTATTATTATTAGTTTTATGTGTTCTGTTACTGTCTCTCCTCCGCTGCCTTGCGGGATATCTTCGGGAGAAGAAAAGGCTAAGGAATAAACCCTACACAAATTAGGAGTGGAGTCCCTAAGACATTTAGGTGGCATCTTGTGTGCTTCCTTCTGGCAACTCCCACATTCAAGCTGGTGCCAAACATATTGCTATGTTTTCCTTTGGAACACACCAGCAAGGCTGAGAGAGGTGGGGTCTTGTCACCTGGACACCCAAGGACCTCCACACACACTTCCCAGACTTGTGTCCAGGCAGGACTATGCAGCTGTCCCTTACGGGAACTGAACCTGCAACCTTGGTGATGTCAGCACCACACACTAACCAACTGAGCTATGCAGCTATCCATGTTACATGTTAAATTTTCATTTACAATATTAGCAAAGCTATAGGATGATGTAATGAACAGGCACCTCCAGGTTACTTCTTCGGCAAAACAAAGCCTAAATTAAAAGCAGACTTTAAAGATGTCAAATAAAAAGCTAAGCTACAGCATGTCCTTACAACAAAGAGGAGCTGTTTGGTTCTTTCCACATGCTTTAGAAACTTGTGTCCTCTTCCTTTATTTGCATGTGCACCTTCAATCAGTCCTGGAAGATCAGCAACTGTGATCTAGGAGGGAAAGAAAGATTAGATTTTCACAAAAGATCCCATCATCATTTCGGTCGCATCAATTTTAAAAAATGGTTACAGCATCTCCATTAGAGACCAATGGCTTGAATTAGGCAAGAAGCCTTAACTACTAGAAGAGACTGAAAGTGGCACGTTATCTGGCTGAACTATTGAAAAAACTACATGAAGACTCCCTCATATATCTAGTCCCAAGCTACATTATGAAGCAGAACTCCCCCCTTCCTAAGTCTTCAACTAGCCTTTCTTTTTTGGGTGGGGGGACGACAAAATGAAGTATTGCAGTCATGAGCAGGATACAAGTTCTAATCAGTTACATAAATGTAAGGTTGGGAATGACCCACAGTTTTGCAGGAACTAGTAATTACAAGTCAATTAATTCTTGACCCTGCCCAGAAAAAACAGACTAACGTGACCACAGCAGGTGAGTTCTGTATTCTTGCTGCAGGATCTAAATTTTCCCCTTTGAAAATGTTTTCTCCAACCTTAACACTAAGTTTCCATTAGAATTATCTGCTTTAAAAGTCAGCTTCTCCTTGCACACTGAAATATATGTTTTGGAAGGCTGTGAATGAGGCATGGCTTGCATGTTTCCTCTCTCCTCTTGTATGCAGCTTTTCCTTCTCCTGTTTAGCGCCACCCACAGTTTGCCACTTCCACACATATTTTCTGATTCTGGTTGTGAGGGAAAACTCTAGTCATAGTTTCAGCAGTAGCCCATGTGGTGGTGCACAGCCATCATCCTGACCCTGCAATCTCTGCAGCTTACCTGGAAAGGGCTGGAACAGGGCAGGAGGTGGCAACCCTGACTTCACTGCAACTCTGCCTCCAACGCCACCCACAAGTCCCATCCAGGTAAGTTGCAGTGATGTCAGAACTGGGGGACGGCTCTGCACAGGCCACTACTGCATAGTTTACCAATTGAGACAACACACCCAATTTTGGTTATGGTTAAATAGGGAGAGGGAAGACCCATACAAGAGAAGAGGGAACATGCAAGCATGCAATTCATTAGCAACCCTCCAAACTATGCTTCGGACTTGAACCGTTACTTGTATAAACACAGAATGCTCATTTGGGTGCTTAATAAGGTTACCAGATTTTTTTCCAATGAATCCAGGAACACTTTTCAACTTCAATGGATTCTGTATGGGGACTGATTTGCAAATCCGGGGCCTGTCCCTGGGAAACAGGGACATCTGGTAACCTTACAATAGAAAACACCAAGCTTGATCTTCTAAGCTATCTAGAAGTCAAGGGAATATTTTCGCATACTGTATTCTGAGAACTGAAGTTTCCCACACTTTGAAGAATCAAACCAAGCAATTATCAACTAATTTGCAAGACTCAAAACTTAACATATATTACATTTTGGGTGGTGGGGGATAAGGATCAAAATTGTTTCCCATCAATTCTAATTTTATGCCTGCTATGGTAAAGAAGGGCAGCTACAAACTACAATGCTTGTTTATATATTGGTTTCATAAAATTTATACACTGCTTTATTGTAAAAAAACAAACAAACCTCCAAGCAATTTTTAAGAGTCTTGTACAGATGCTTAATGCTATTTTGAAGTTCTTTTAAAGTGCAGGGGGCAAATATAATCATTAGCAGTAATGCTACGTTTCTTATCCATGTAATACACTTTATTTAGAGAAAGATTAAAGCGTCACCAGGCAAGCCCTGGTTCCAGGAAAGAGAAAAAGCACTTTTACTCATTTTGCATCTGTGAACTCCATTGTTGCACTGATGTCATCAAACACCTCTTGATAAAATGCTTTCATCTTATTGCTCTCATGTGCCAGCTAGAGTTCTACATATCAAAGTCAAAATTAGGATGTGTGCAATCAAAAGTTTGGAAGACTCATGAATGAACATGGTCCTCAATTCTTCATCAAAACTTAGTAGCATGGATAATGGACCTCATATTTGGAAAAAATCATCTTTCTGAACAAACACAGGCAATTTTCAAAATTATTTTAACAGGCCTATGTTTAGCACTCTACAGTAGATCACTCTCAGCTGCTGAACAGCAATAAATAATGCCACATGGAGCATTATTTTAGGTAATGCATCATGTTACAGTGTTTAGTATTGTAAAGCAGAGAGTGGTCTAATGGGTCACACTTGGTGTCCAGCCTCTCTCACTGTCCTAAAACTTAGGTAAACGTGGCTCAAAAGGGTTGTTTATCTGGATACAGATATTGCTTAGAAGACAAGTCAACAGCCTGCTCTCATGGAAGTATTGGTGTAAGTTAAGAAAATTGGGGTCTCATAACGTAACCAAAATACAGTTTCTCCACAACCACACCTTTAATGCAGATCTTACTTTTGGAAACCAACCTGTTTAAAATCAGCATACTTGACTGTTCCAAGCTCAGGTTTTATCGTTGTAACTGCGGAAAGTAAAGAAAAGTGAGCCCTGTTTTGTGATGTATTTTGGAGTTTTACCCCTGGCTTGTATGCCCAAAACACTTGTTTACTCTCAGTCAAAAGATGGAACACTCTTGCTTTCTCAGAAGCAACCTCTTGAATGCTAGACAGGCAGTGATAGCAGAGGTCCTTCCCAAACATTTAAAGTTGCTCACATCAGAAGATGCATAGAAAACTGAATGCAGAGAAATTCTTATTAAATACTGGGAAACACTTGAGGGATGGTATCGTAGCTCTCTGCAATTATACTCTGAAAACTTGGTAGCTGAAAGACTGAGCTCTCATTCAGGAGGGGTAGTTCATCTACAGACAGCCTCTGCCCATACTCAAGATCTCTCTCTCTCTCTCTCTCTCTCTCTCTCTCTCACACACACACACACACACACACACACACACACAAACACACACCTGTCCCCAGGGCATTGCAAGAGACTGTTGTCAGAGACAGGGGGAAGATGGCTCCCAGAGTCAAAGTGTTTCTGTTGCAAGCACTGCATTCAAGATCAGGGTGCAAACACTAATACATGGAAAATTAATTACTTACAGGCATAATCTGCTATTTGAGGTGTAGCATGAGAAATCTTGGTTAGCAAAGAGGATTTTCCTGCATTTGGAAATCTGGGGTGGAGTGGGGGGATGAAAAAAATTCTATTTAGTGTTCATATCAGTATGTAGTTGACAGAAGAATAAAACCACTTTCAAGTTTTAAAATGCATTTTACTCAAGTGAATTTTGTTTAAAATGAAGAGGAAACGTCTTAGAAGTGGGCTACTCTGAGGGTGGAATAGATTCCATACATACTAGAAAAAGCACCAAACAAAAAAGCTGCCTTTAAATGCTAATTTCTCCCCTTAAAGTCAATCAAAGTGTGCCCCAAATATGCATTTAGCCAATGTTCCTATAAGTCCCTAACAGAACTATATGCTGTATACTCACAATGGAAAGAAACCACCTTATATTACAGGGAAGACTGAGTTAACAGGATTGTTATGGGGGGGGGAGAGCAAGAAAAAACTGTGTTGCTATTCTCCCCCCACCTTCCAAAAATCTGGTTCCTTTTTATTTTTAAGTAAGTTTCAAAAGTAGTACAATCCACATTATGCAACTGTTTAAGCTTTTAAGCACCATTTTGCAAATATGCATCTGTGAAAGAACAATTGCTCCGCTATCACATTTTTAATGATTATAACCAGAAAACAAAAACCAGTAATAGAATAAATACTTTGATACCTTACGTTGGACTAATGAGACAGGGGGAGGGTGCTCTTTCAAGATACTATTGGAGTAATGTCAGTACCTCAAGAGCCATTTCAAAAGTTATCATACTTCTTCAGGAATGATTTTATTAGATCAGAAGTAGCTGTACTCTCTTTGAAATGTATACAGAGATGCTGTCTGACTTTCAGTGTATATCAGCCTAATGTTCCTCAAATCTTTTTCCATGTCTGTGATCTAATGATAAAGCACTTGTGTACATACTGAAATATTAAAAAAACCAAACTCAGACTGAGATCAAAAGAACAAGCTTTCAAGAGACTCACTCAACAACTGAGTGAAATAAACCAAAGGTGTTTCCATGACTCCCTAGAAATTATTCTTTCCTTACCTCATCTAGAACAAAGTGGGGGAGGAACAAACCACCCAGAAATTTGAAGTAGAATTAAGTGGTGGGTGGGAGAGGTATACTGATATATCACAAAGGCAATAGTATTTATATGACACTGTTTTGAACGCCCACCAGTTCCTTATAAAGCTTCCATTTGCTGTTGAGCAAAGCCTGAATAAAAGTTCAACTTCACACATTAAACCAGAAAGAAGTGAGGCAAGAGCTGCAACTGTAGTTACATCATGCATTGCAGGGCTTTTCCCCCAAGGGGAACTCACAGGAACTCAGTTCTGGCACCTCTCTGGTGGGTGCCATTGCCATTCTAAGAGAATGGGGGAGGTGTTCATGGTGAGTTCTGGTACTTCTTTTTCTAGAAAAATAGCACTGATGCCTTATGACAATAAAGTCACAATAGGATAATCTGGAGGCAGGATAACTGACTGTATGAATAACATTCCCTAAACTTAAATATGTCTTAATGTGGATGTAGTTACAGACATGGATATTGCTAGTACAAAGGCATTCACTTCAATATATAAATATGAACATGACTCCAGAGTGCAATTTTCAGGATCAAAGACTTACCCAACTAAGCCAACATCTGCTATAAGTTTGAGATCAAGGTGAATCATGAGCCTTTGACCTCTGGAGGGCAAGAAATTTGTTGCCATGCATCCACCAAGACCTCCTCGTGCCACCAACAATCTGTCTTCTGCTCTGTCAAGTTCACCTAATAATAAACATACAGAAGTGCTTTTTGCAAAAGTTCTATTTGTTCCCAATGACACAGACGTTGCTTTCAACTTGCCATTTACATTTTAGTACTCATCTGAGACAAAGCACCACTGGACACAGTGGAGCCTACCTCCAGGTTAAACGGTCACAAAATGTGGCAAATAATAATAATAATAATAATAATAATAATAATAATAATAATATCTTTATTGTCATTGCCCCCTCTCGGGGACAATGAAATTACTTCGAAATTACAACGAAAGTTTTTGAGACTTTGTGGTGAGTCCTGAAAAATGCCTCACCCAGCTATGGACTTTTTTATGATCAACATGGCTACTCTACCTTCACTTTTTACTTCCAAAAAAATTACAGAGTTTTGTAATTGAAGACACATAAATCAAGGCAAATATACTACCTTAATCAAAATCTATTAAGCTGCTTCTGACAATTATCAATTAACTGTTCCTGGATGTCTGCCAGTGCATCTATGCCTTTAACACCTGCACATGCCAGCCAAATGTTTATTGAAGTGCGAGCCAAATTATAGGTTTGTGCTGTTGCACAGACTCAGTAGAAAGCAAACAGCAACTAACAGTGCAATCCTAACCATGTCTCTTCAGAAGTAAGTCCAATTAAACTCAATTCCAGCTTATTCCCAACTACCTGGGACTAAACCAATTTGAATTCAATGATATTTTCTTCCAAGTAGACAAGGTTAGGACTGCGATGTAAGCCATGACTTGTTCTCTCAGAAAAATAATACATCTGAGGTACAGTCTTCAATATATTTTGGGTGTGTTGGAGGGGAGGTTCATGTAAAAGAATCTCACCTATAGTGTTGAAAATAATGTGAGAACTTTCCCGAATGACGGCTTATTGTACTAAATCCCTGCCAGATGCACAGTTGATATGTTTTCTGACCCTTTACAGTAACAAAAAGTGAAGCACCAAAACATCCTTACCAATCACTTTCCCATCATCCCTTGTGACAGATATTCCTTGAGGGACATTCACTTCACAATCTTTTCCCTTAGTACCTTTCAGTGTAGCAAGACTTGTGGGGAGCAAAAAAAAAAATACATATATTACAAGATTGCTGTAAGCTGGACCACACACACTCTCAATCAATGAAACATACTCACCTACTGTTGGCTCCTGCTCCTGCTACAAACCGTTTGCTTGGAAATCGATCTTTAAGTCTCTTCAATGTCATTTTCTTTTGAGCTACCAACCAGACATCACCGCCTTCCCCACCTTCCCCGCCTAATCGAGGATGGCCCATTCCGCCAGTTCCTCCTTTCACGTAGATCCTAAGGTCATCCATAAACCTGCCATACTGCAAAATAAAATTAAAACAAAAATAAAATAAAACACTGCCTTTTCATATTTACTAGCAATTTGTTAATCATTATGAAAAGTAGGGGATGCAACCCCCTGTGAGGCTACTATGAATGAGACCAAAATGAAGTCCTTTACTTTCCCCCCATAGTGATAAATAACCACCATGAGGTTATATAAGAACAAGTACAGCAGGTGCAGGGATGCAGGTGGCGCTGTGGTCTAAACCACTGAGCCTCTTGGGCGTGCCGATCAGAAGGTCAGTGGTTCGAATCCCCGCGATAGGGTGAGCTCCCGTTGCTCGGTCCCTGCTCCTGCCAACCTAGCAGTTCAAAAGCATGCCAAAAAGTGCAAGTAGATAAATAGGTACCGCTCCGGCAGGAAGGTAAATGGCGTTTCCATGCACTGCTCTGGTTTCGGTGTTCCGTTGCGCCAGAAGCAGCTTAGTCATGCTGGCCACATCACCCAGAAAAATGGCCTGTGGACAAACGCCGGCTTCCTCGGCCTGTAAAGTGAGATGAGCGCCACAACCCCAGAGTCGTCTATGACTGGACTTAACTGTCAAGGGTCCTTTACCTTTTACAGCAGGTGCAGGGAAACCTCTGGCTCTCCAGTTGTTGCTGAACTACAACTCCCATCACCCCTGGACATTGGCCATGTATGCTAGGGCTGATGGGAGTTGTAGTTCAACAAGTTCTGGAGGGCAATAAGTTCCAGATCCTGGAAATAGAGGGATGGTGTCTAAACCTGCTTCCTGTCCTTAGTGTTTCTGATAATTAAGACAGAACCCATCTGAATAGTTCCATCCTAAGACATGCACAAAGAAAAAAAACCCTGTAAACAGTGAAGTCCAATAGGAAACTGTCTATGGCAATTTGGTGCAAAGATATGCAAGATGGACACAGGACTGTAGATTTTTAAATTTGCCATTATGTAAAGTTTAAGACAGCATCTTAAAAAGCAGAGACATCACATTGCCAGCAAAGGTCCGTATAGTTAAAGCTATGGTTTTCCCAGTAGTGATGTATGGAAGTGAGAGCTGGACCATAAAGAAGGCTGATCGCCGAAGAATTGATGCTTTTGAATTATGGTGCTGGAGGAGACTCTTGAGAGTCCCATGGACTGCAAGAAGATCAAACGTATCCATTCTGAAGGAAATCAGCCCTGAGTGCTCACTGGAAGGACAGATCATGAAGCTGAGGCTCCAATACTTTGGCCACCTCATGAGAAGAGAAGACTCCCTGGAAAAGACCCTGATGTTGGGAAAGATTGAGGGCACAAGGAGAAGGGGACAACAGAGGACGAGATGGTTGGACAGTGTTCTCAAAGCTACCAGCATGAGTTTGACCAAACTGTGGGAGGCAGTGGAAGACAGAAGTGCCTGGCGTGCTCTGGTCCATGGGGTCACAAAGAGTCGGACACAACTAAACGACTAAACAACAACAACAGTTTTTCTTTGTTGTGGGTTCTGTAATGTCTTTTTTGTCATAAATGTGGAAAACCAATAAAAAAAATTTTTTTGGGGGGGGGAATACAACTCCCATCACCCCTGGGCATTGGCCATGTATGCTAGGGCTGATGGGAGTTGTAGTTCAACAAGTTCTGGAGGGCAAAAAGTTCCAGATGCCTGAAATAGAGGGATGGTGTCTAAACCTGCTTCCTGTCCTTGGTGTTACTGATAATTAAGACAGAACTGATCTGAATAGTCCCATCCTAAGACATGCACAAAGAAAAAAAACCCTGTAAACAGTGAAGTCCAAAAGGAAACTGTCTGTGACAATTTGCTGCAAAGATAGGCAAGATGGACACAGGACTATAGATTTTTAAATTTGCCATTATGTAAAGTTTAATAATAATAATAACCACCAAGAATTTCATCCAAGAAGAGCTGAAGAGCTTCCTTCCTTTGTACTGAAGATTTATTATCGGGATAAGGGAAGTTTTTGTCACTGGACCCACCTCCCTGCAGCCAAATATTCAGAGGTGCACGGGGCATCTCCTAAGCCGCCCCCCGCCTCGCGGGAACGGCGCCCCATAAGGCTAAGGGGAAAGAGCTGCTTTGGCGGCGCACTAACCTCCCTCAGTAGGGCTCGGCTGAGCCGCCCCATGCTGATGACCAGCGGGCGCAAAGGGGCTCCCTTCAGCGGAGACTTGGGCGCATGCAGAGCCAGGGAAGCAGCGCAGGAGAGTGACGCCAACCCGCGACTGGCCCGCCTGCTCGGAGGCGGGGCGGGCGGGGAAGGCGGGACCGCGAAGGGCCGGGGAGAGAAGGTCCACGCGGGGCGCCGGAGCAGAGCTTTCCTGGAGGCGCCTGAGCTGCTGCTGCTGCTACAAATGGCGACGAGGGCGCCGCGGAATATTTTGTGCCTCGCTCCAAAAGGGTTGCCTCTTAAAGAGGCCTGGCACGTTTATTTCGAGGGCTAGAATCCGCTTCTTCAGATACGCGAAGTGAAATTATTGCGTCTGCACACGTGCATTCCGTGCATGCGGGTTCGGGGAGCGGGGAAAGAAAACAGTGTAGGAGCGTATCGAGAGCGCGGCGGAAGCTGGACCGAGGCACATTCCGTACCCCTCTCTGTAGGAATGAATCCTAAACGTCATAACGTGGCGGACGGACCTTGCACACATAGAATTGCAAAATAATAATAATATTTTTTTATAAAAAAAAATTGATTTGGCGGGGTGGGGAACACAAAATAAATCAGCTGGCTTTCCTTTACATATAATCTTCATCCTGGGAAGTAAGACCTGAACCACCGCAAAGCAGAGCCGCTCCATGGGTAGCTCCATCCCATCAAGTAAAACAATAGAAATACATAACTAACTGACCATGTTGGTCTCCTCCCCACCCCCCCAAAAAACCCAAAAGTCCTGGCGGCGCTCATGAAAGTTACCATGGTTGATGGTATCAAAAGGCAGGGACACGTTTTCCCTGTCTTGTCTCCTGAGGACACAGGTCGACTAAAGCAGTTTCTGAGCCAAAACTAGGACTAAACCTCAGTTGGAATGGATTTACTACAAGAGTGCCTGGATCTGGTCTGCGGCCATGTGCTCAAATATCTTGATCAAAGAGGGAAGATTGGCACTGGCCAGTCATTATTTAAATTTTCGAAATCCCGTCATGGCTTCTTAAGGGTGGTCTTACCACTGTCTCCTTTAAGCAGGCAGAGATGGACCACCCCCTCTCCCAAGGAGACAGTCATCACCTCCGTGGTCAGGCCAGCTGTCCCCTCCTTGCTAGTTTTTATCAGCCAAGAAGGGCAAGGCTCTAGAGCGCAAGTGGTCGCCCTCACCTTCACTTTGCATTCTTGAGCCTTACTAACTGAAACTGATCCAACACAACAGGACTAGAGTGCTCTGGACGCCTCTTGAGGTCATTCTGCTGTACCAGTAAAATGTACAGGAAGCAGGTGGTGCTGTGGTCTAATCCATTGAGCCTCTTGGGCTTGCTGATCAGAAGGTCAGCAGTTCAAATCCGTGCAACGGAGTGAGCTTCTGCCCCAGCTTCTGCCAACCTAACAGTTCAAAAGCATACCAGTGCAAGTAGATAAATAGGTACCGCTGCAATGGGAAGGTAAACGGCATTTCCGTGTGCTCTGACTTCCATCATGGTATTCTGTTGCGCCAGAAGTGGTTTAGTCATGCTGGCCACATGACCTGGAAAGCTGTCTGTGGACAAACACTAGCTCCCCTGGCCTGAAGTGAGATAAGCGCCATACCCCATAGTTGCTTTTGACTGGACTTAACCAGGGGTCCTTTACCTTTGCCTTTCTGTAACAGTGTAGTCAGTTCCCATCAGCCCTAGCCAACATGGCCAGCAGTCAGGGATGAAGTAGTGAGAACGTATATGAACTAGCATATGAATTAGCATCACAGAGGTATAAACTAAAGGTAAACTGAAATATAGATTTGTCCTGAATCACAGAGATGGTGTAACAGGAAATGGGAAAAAGAGAAGGAAATGAGTTTTTAAAGCCTGTTTGCTTAGATAGCTAGGAGATAGGTTTTATAAGTATCTAAATCAATGAAATTGAATCATTCTTTCCATCTGGGGGCACTGAGGGAAGGGGAAGTTGTTTGGTATATGCTGGAAGCTCTTTACATGATTAGCCCACTTTGAGTTGTGCTCAGTGACATGTTTTTGTTCACCATAAGGATGTCAATTTCCTGACATAGCCCCTTCCTCTTCTACAACAATGATTCTGTTATAATGACTTTAGAAACAGATATGTCGTTTCTTGTTAAGATGCAATGTGGGCACTCAAGCAAAGAATCTTGACTCACATACACGAAAAGCCATTGCAAAGTTTGTTGCCCCCAGCACACCTTTCTCCATCTGCTGAGGAAAAGGCAATGGTTGGTTCTCTTAAATTCACTAGAAGAGTCAATTAACAACTACAATGTACATACTGAACCAAATGGAGTACTGGTGTTCAAAAATGCTCCCCACCAAACAGAAATTAAATTTTGCTTCAGAAATGGTTAGCAAGTGCTTCTAATTCCTGACCATTCCTTTGGGTATAAAATGGAACAAAATAGTGCTCTAAAAACCCCCACCATACTCACATTCAGTGCTTCTTTTCTTATTTTTTTTAAAAAATATATATTTATTAAGGTTTTTCAATACAAAGGCATATTTAATAAAACAACGTTGATTATTTAGCATCTTTTCATCATTACTTTGGACTCCCTCACACCTCCCCCACACACTTGCATCTTTATAAAATTATTTCCAAGCAAATTATCATTTTGTTCATAGTCTTTAGATTCAGTCTAATTATTTCCAAACAGATTATCATTTTGTTCATAGTCTTTAGATTCAGTCATTAAAATCTAGTTAAGCTTAAATCTAGTTTAGTGATAGACAATTATTTCTATTCTGGCATCCCTATCAACATTCAGCCAAATTACAATATTTTTGCAAATAAGTCTTAAATTTCTTCCAATCTTCTTCAACTCTCTCTTCTCCCAGGTCTCGAATTCTGCCGGTCATCTCTGCTAGTTGCATATAGTCCATCAGCTGCATCTGCCATTCTTCCAGAGTGGGTAGATCTTGAGTCTTCCAATTCTTGGCGATCAGTATCCTTGCTGCCGTTGTTGCATACATAAAAAATGTTCTATCCTTCTTTAACACATTCTGGCCAACAATGCCCAAGAGGAAGGCCTCTGGTTTTTTGGTAAAGGTATACTTAAACACCTTTTTTAACTCATTATATATCATCTCCCAGAAGGCCTTCACTCTAGGGCAAGTCCACCAAAGGTGAAAGAATGTTCCTTCATTTTCCTTACATTTCCAACATTTATTATCAGACGAATGGTATATCTTAGCCAATTTAACTGGGGTCATGTACCATCTGTATATCATTTTCATTACATTTTCCTTCAGAGCATTACATGCAGTGAAGTTCAGCCCAGTGGTCCACAACCTTTCCCAATCTTCAAACATAATATTATGCCCAATATCCTGTGCCCACTTTATCATTGCCGATTTAACCATTTCGTCTTGTGTGTTCCATTTCAGCAGCAAATTATACATTTTTGAAAGTACTTTAGTCTTAGGTTCTAACAGTTCTGTTTCCAACTTCGATTTCTCCACCTGGAATCCTAACTTTTTATCATTCTTAAATACCTCTTTGATCTGAGCATAGTGTAGCCAGTCTCGCACTTTATCTTTCATTTTCTCTAAACTCTGCAATTTCCAATTGTCTCCATCTCTTTCTAATATCTCCCAATACTTTGGCCAGTTGGCCTCCATATTGGCTCTTTTTCGGGCCTTAGCCTCCAGGGGTGACAGCCACCTCCGAGTTTTATTCTCCAGTAAGTCTTTGTATTTTGTCCAGACATTAAATACTGCTTTCCTGACAATATGGTTCTTAAAGGCCTTGTTAATCTTAACCTTATCATACCATAGGTACGCATGCCATCCAAATGCATTATTAAAACCTTCCAGATCTAGTACATCCGTGTCCTCAAGAAGTAGCCAGTCTTTTAGCCAGCAGAAAGCTGCAGCTTCATAGTACAGCTTTAAGTCTGGCAGGGCAAAGCCCCCTCTTTCTTTCGCATCCGTTAGTATCTTAAACTTAATTCTGGGCTTTTTGCCCTGCCAGACAAACTTAGAAATGTCTTTCTGCCACTTCCGGAAGCACTCCGTTTTGTCTACGATCTGCAATGTCTGAAACAAAAATAACATCTTTGGCAATACATTCATCTTAATGGCTTCTTTTCTGGGGGTATGTGTTTCTTTTTGGGGGGTACACAAAAAAAACATTTTGTGAATCTTTGTACTTTTTTCCATTTACTGTATTTATTTATCCCGATTTGAACTATAAAATAGTGATTTTCTTGAGTCAAACTGAGAGTACCCCTAAATATTTTTAAAGAAAAAAAGCACTGCTCACATTCATACCACACCATCGAGGAAATGAATCAGAGTATTGTCACTTGCCGAATTAAAGTCTATAGGAGAATATAAGCAAGAGTAGTGACTTTACTCTGTAGTGAGGAGAAAATAATATCCAATATTTGTTCTTTGTGAAGCTCCAAGATTGCAAGATTGGTGGTGGGGAGAAAGGTGCCCTCTTACCCCCTTCAGACGGGAAGATAGCCTGAACTGGCCCTGTACATGAGTCCTTCCCAGGGTCCTACCTGCCATCTTTACTTAGATGGGTGGTGATCAGAAAGAGGACATTTTCAGTCATGATGCCTTGAGTATGGAATTCTCTCTCTAGGGAAGCTAACCTGGTGCCATCTTTTGGCACCAAGTGAATTAAAACAACCAGGTATTTCAGCACATTTTGTCATTTGTTTTGTCTAGTGTTTTGTTAGCTTTGAATGATCTTAGTGGCTTCTGAGCTTCTCTGACTCTGTATTTATTACTTTTTATTGTTCCTATTATCTTATGCTTATGCCAGATGATCGTCTTCCAAAGCAACTACTCTATTCCGAACTTAAAAATGGAAAGTGTAATGCTGGTGGTCAACAGAAGAGGTTTAAAGACTGTCTCAAGGCAAATCTAAAAAAATGTAGTACAGTATAAACACTGACAACTGGGAAACACTGGCCTGCGAGCGCTCCAGTTGGAGAACAGCCTTTCCAAAGGTGTCATGGGGTTTGAAGACACTCAAACTCAGGACGCAAGGGAGAAACGTGCTAGAGGAAGGCACACTTGGCAAATCCACACCATGATCAACACCCTTGCGGAAACCAATGTCCCTGCTGTGGAAGGACGTGTGGATCCAGAATTGGCCTCCACAGTCACTTACAGACTCATTGTTAAAACCATGTTTATAGAAGACAATCTTACTTGGCTACGAGTGATCGCCAAAGAAGAAGATGTTTATTTTATTGTTTTTTATTACTGTTTTATTTTTAAAAAATTGTACCCCGCCCACAGAGTCTTGTTATTATTCACTGACTAAATAAACAAAACAAGTATTTTTTAAATGTCCTGTCTGTTGCTGTTTGTAGTTAAACAGTTGTATTTTTAGCAGTGATTCTATCACTGTTCATTATATTTTGTTAAGCAACGTCATTTGGCATCTTTTAAATAAAGTATCTTCCATATTCTAGGGAAATGAATGTTCTCTAACAAATTTGTGACTTCAATGTTTGTTAGTTTTAATCAAGATGTAATCAGCTGGCTTCTAGGAGAAGCACTTTTAGACTGCAGTTCTCTGCACACTTAGCCTGGGCATGAGCTCCACTACTGGGCCCAGCTGAACTTCATGCCCAATAATCACCCATAGGATTGGGGGTCTAAAGCTGCAATCCTAAACCCACTTTGCAAGGAAGTGAGCCCCATTGAACTAAGTGGGACTTACTTCTGAGTAAACATCAAGAAGCTTTATCTGCAAATCTCTTCCTAGGACAAGTACCCCAGCTGTTATTGGACAAGGATGTACACAGGAATAGGGATGTATTGATAAGATAAGGGAACAAAGATGCAGATTGCAGCAGATTGTGTAGCTGATTGACTCAGAGCAGATGATGTGGACAGAGGCGGGGCTATGTGATTTATAGCCCCTCTCCTCTCCTTTTCACTTAATGGAGTGGATGATACTGCCAGTGTCTTCCTCTGCTAAATAATCCCAATACAGCAGCAACCATTACCTCGCTAGCAACAGAAAGCAGTTTCAGACTTCTGGTCTTTGGGAACCCCCTCCACCCCTTTGTGTCCAAGTGGTCAGTCAACACAGACTGCCTTCTGTCACTGAATATTTGCACTCAAGAAGGCTATATTTCAGTAAGTATGATTTTTCACTTTGCTCCTTAAAAACAAATGTTGAAAAGTCTCATTAACTGAACAGGGAGGAGTCAGATTCCAAAACTTCTAGCCCAAGGCTATACATGCTTACTTAGAAGTAAGTTCATTGGAGGTTGCTTCCTTGTAAAGGCTGCAATGCTAATCCTGCCTGGCTGGGAGTATTCCCCTTTGAATTCAGCACTACTCACTTCTGTGTAGATGTGTCATAGAATTGCTCTGTGTTAGTTGCTTTTGCTGTTTGAGAGCCAATGATAGCAGCTACAAAAATTAGACTGGTTGGAGTTTTCATGTTATTATTGCAAGTGCTTTTTGTAGCAACTGAATTATAAGAGGGGAAGGAAGATATATGTTTCCAATATATTGATCACAGTAATCAATATTCCCTGAGGATATAAGCAAGTAGGAATAATCAGGAAAAAAACTTTATTGTGCTTCTACGTTCCAGAGAAAAGAAAGAATCAGTCAGTAAAATCTATAATGCTGCTGTTAGAAAAACATTGTTTATTGATCAGTGATAGTTTTTTACTTTCTCCTGTGTGTCACTTTCTACAGGTGCAATCTACAATGTAAGAAAGTTTTACATTCCAAAAGTTTTACTTGTCCAGGGAACTGTATATTAGAGCCAGTGTAATGTTGTGGTTACGAGTATGAGCTGAATATTTTCTATAAACTTTTGGCTGTTTTTAAATAATTCCCTCCTGTCGTGGTTGGTTGGGTGCCTAGAATCCTAAGTATTTTATTTATTTAAGGTTTTAATTATTAACACTTATATGCTGTCTTTGGGCTAACCTTTAGGTTCTCTCAACCTCTTCTGTCTTCACAACAACTTTGTGAGGTAGTCTGCTGGTCTGAGGAAAAAGTGCCTGACCCAAGTTTACTCAGTGTGCATCATGACTGAATGGAGGCTTGAACCCTGATCTTCCCAGTTCTAGCCCTTTATGCTAACCATTATACCGACTGTTCGCAAACTCTCCCTGCCTAAGACCACTTAATGATTTTTCTTCCTGTTGTTTAGAAGTGGTGATTGCTTAGGACCTTCCCCTGTCTTGCTGCCAGCCATAGCTTTATTCCCCTGAGGAAGGTAGAATCTCCTCCTGCCATCACTAACTCCCTCTTCCTCACCTTCCAGGCAGACTGCCAGGTTCTAAGAACGAAACAGCAGCCATTGTGCCTGCCATTCCCCTCACACACCCCTTTCTTCATACACATGTAGTTATGCCACTTTGCAGACTCACAAGACCACTGGTGGTCCATGGGCAACGCTTTGGGAACCCCTGACTTAAATCATACCGATCTCAACAAACTCAAGAGTAGCATATATAGTTATTTTCTCTGGTCATTTTATTCCCACAACAGCCTTGTGAGGTAGGTTAGGTGACTGTTCCGATGTCACCCAATGCATTTCTTGACAGGGTGGGAGTGGGCATTAGGAGACAGGTTCTTTTGTTCCAAGTCAAATGCACAAAAAAATGATGTAGCGGCAGCCATCTTAACTAACCACAGAATGGGCCTGCCTCCATGGGCGTAGCCAGGATTTCTGTTGTTGGCGGCAGAACCTCAGTAAGCTATGTATTTTTATTGAATTTGATTGATTTGGGTGGGGGAGCTGCCCCTCTCTGCCCCCCCCCATGCCTGCCTGGATGCAATCCCATTGTTACTAAGGTTGCACACCATCCCCGATCTCTGCCAAGCGGTAGCAAGATTCCAGGGTGCAAATTGAGGCACAGCGGAGGCTAGTCTATTTAATACATATGGCTTACTGTACACATATTTACACCTGGAATCTTCAGTGAAGGAGGTGCAGACCATTATACCCCAAGAGTAATATTAATATTAATATTAATATTAATAATAATAATTTTATTATTTATACTCTGCCCATCTGACTAGGTTTCTCCAGCCGCTCTGGGCTATGTACAGTGTATCTTAAAACAAAAAACATCAAGTGTTAAAAATCTTTCGAAATAGGGCTGCCTTCTAAAAGCTGTGTAATTCTTTATCTCCTTGACATCTGAAGGGAAGGTGTTCCACAGGGAGGGTACCACCACTGAGAAAGCCCTCTGCCCAGTTCCCTGTAACTTCGCTTCTTGCAGTGAAGGAACCTGCAGACAACCCTCGGAGGAGGACCTCAGTGTCTGGGCTGAGTGGACACTGTCTCTCACTGCCCCTCTCATAGCTTCAGCAAGCTTGGGTCCAAAGCATTAGTCAGTCATGGCTCTCGGGGCAGCCTCCTCCAGCCTGCGCCAAGATGGTTCTGTCTTTGTTCTCTTCTTTCCCAGAATGCCTCCAGATTTCAAAAAGGACAATTTTTCCTATGACATCATGTGCCCCCATCACCTTGGCAACCTGCCAGTTATCCTGTCTCTCTGTCCACTCCTCAGAGAGGCGGGGGGGGGACGACAACGACTGTTATTTTGCATTGCTAATGGACCTTAATGGCTTGGTGCCATTGTTTCTTCATGGTTCTGCACTTAGCTAACCCAGAAATTTCCTGCCTGGCACAGTTCTGCAGCTTGTATTTCCCTTCACGCCCCCAAATATCATCTAAATACTAGCATTTATTAATTTATACCATTCACTAACAGACTCTGGACTCTAACAGACACTAAATCTATGACACTATATAAACAGTGGGACTTTTGAAAACACAGGCTGAGGCCGAGTGGCTACAACTGAAGTCACTCTTACTCATGATGTTGATCGGAACAAAACCGGGTGGTTTGAGTGCAATTTAATTGTTTTGCAGCAGAGTGTATTTAAATAACACAGTGTTCCAGTACTTTATCCTAAAAAAAGATGTGTTCAACCAACTTCTGAGAGGCAGTCACATAGGAAGTTGCCTTATAACGAGCGGCACAATTTGTCCATGCTGCTGCTCATTATTGAAAGGCAGCAGCCCTCCAACGTCTCAGACGGGAGCCTTTGCTATCTGTATTTGAAGGTGGACAGTGGGTTCTTTCAGTTATTTATTTAATTTATTTACTTTTTCTTGGGTTTATATACCTCCAAGGCAGTTTACAATGTGATTCAAACATTAAAACAAATGCATTATTTTAAACAAAGACCTCTCATGCCAATGGGAAGCTTGATGGTATACATGCTCCCTGGCTTGGCCTCCCTTGCCTCTGCCTTCCCTCAGGGGAAACAGGCCTTCAGCCACTCCAGGGAAGGTGGGGTAGGAGCTGCCCCAACATTTCTCTCAGGCCAGCAGTGCTGGCTCCTGCGGATGGAGGCACTTTGCCCCCCCCCAAAAAAAGTTTTTAAGGAGGGGGCTAAGCCCCCTCCATATCCAAGAGTGACATCACACGCAGAATGTCACGCTGTCGGCCTCCTCTATCGTGGATGCAAGCCGGTGTTAATGTCTCAGGTCATAGGTGGTTCTGTGAGGAGCTATTGATAAGTGTGCTCCATGACCTGGACTCCTTGGCTTGGTTCTTTGCCTTCTGCCTTTCCTCAGGGCACACGTGTTTTTTAAAATACATTTCACTAATTTTACAATCATTTTGACATTTCAAAACTTGACTTCCTTCCCCCTCTTTCTGCGGTTCCTTAAATTTATTTTAGTATATTCTGCATATCCAACTTAACTTAATTTGCTCATTTTTCATATTCTTTAAATATATACTCTTATGAAACTGCAGGTTATTACAATAATCCTACCAATGTTCTTATCTGTTTACAATTTATCTGTAATTATTCAATAAACCAATTCTATTATTTTATAAAAAGTTTTTATCTTGATTTCTTATTCTTCCGGTAAGTTTCACCATTTCTGCATATTCCATAAGTTTTTGTATCCATTCTTCCTTTGCTGGGACTTTTGCTTCTTTCCATTTTGGGGCAAGTAACATTCTTGCCGCTGTAGTAGCATACATAAATAAGTTTCTATACAGTTTAGGTAGTTCTGTCCCTATAATTCCCAAAAGAAAAGCTTCTGGTCCCCGTCCCCCCCAGGTTATTTTAAACATCATTTTCATTTCATTATATATCATTTCCCAGTAAGCTTCAACCTTACTACAAGACCACCACATATGATAAAAATACAGTAACCTTTCTGTTTATATTTCCAACACTTATTTGATTTAGATATATACATTTTTGCCAATTTACTCAGTGTTATATACTATCGATATATCATTTTCATTTAATTTTCTCTTAGTCCATAACATACTACGAATTCTATATCCATATTCCACCACCCGTTCCCATGCTTCCATGTCTATATTATGACCAATATCTATTGCCCACTGTATCATTGAAGATTTTACGTGCTCATCCTTTGTCTCCCATTCCAATAATATTTTATGCATTTTAGACAGCACTTTTACATTACATTCCAACAGGTCTCTCTCCAGTCAGGCACATGTGTCTTAGCCATTCATTGCTATCCTGTCAAATAGTACAGGAGCAAATGGGCAAAGCCTTTCCATTGTGTCTTCTCCGACATTCATGTTGACGTCATGTGAAGGTCTCCTTCTTACAAAGCTCTCCAGGCTGTGATTCAGTGGTAGAGCACACGCTTTGTATGTAGGAGAGGACTGTGTGATATTGTGGGCTATGACACTCAGTGTAGCCCAGCTCCTTGATCTCTAGTTGTTCAACACACAAGCGAAGAGCACCTGAATGGGGCTACTGATGCTGGCCTTTTCTTTTCTTTTTATCTACAATAGCAACATTTTTTTAACTAGCTATTGGCCCTACCTCACATGTGACAGGACATACTTGTCTTCTTGCCTCTGTTGGAGCCGCAGGCCAGTTGGACGAAGTCAGAACTAACATCCTTTTTTGTGACAGTATGTTTCAAAGTTGTAAAGCCAAAGACTGTAGGGGGAGTGAAGTCATAATTGTTTGTATTGTTTTCAGATACCTCTGTGCAGCATGGAATTTGTACGCAGCAGAAAGTGGCATCTCCAAATGGGTTGTCTCTTGATGGTGAATTTAGTTTATGGCAACCTGGAATATCAAAAAGAAGCCTTTGCCGGCCTGGGAGAGATTGATCATCATTGTTGGGAAATCTCCTCTCGTAGGCTGGTGGAAGTGAAGAAACTCAGGGTATCAAGCACAGTTACTGCTCTCTGGGAATTCATGATGTTCCTGAAAGGGTCGTCTAAACCCAAGCATAATGACATCTTCAACAGTTTAGCTCAGAACTTCTGGGATATGTATGTAGAATGCATTCTCTCAAGTTCTCACGGAATGGGCAGGAGACAATTAGCATCCACAGAGAATACTTTTACATATGGACAGAAAGCATCAGAAGGTAATTTTGTTATACTTACCTGTTAATAAAACACTAGATGCATGAAGTGCTATACCTGCCATGCAACTGATGACGCAGGCTGTAGTCCATGAATTATTACACCAAAATAAATTTGTTACATCTTTAAGGTGTGCTGTTAATACTGAAAGGCTGCTATTTCTAGATTAAGGCTATAATCCCATATCCCAAGTTTCCTAAGCCTATGTCCTACTGAATTAAATGGGAATGAAATTTGGGGATAGACACATGTAGGATTGTGCTGTAAGGCTGTGCACTCTTTCCTGGGAATATGCCCCATTGAACACAGTAGGACTTACTTCTGAGTAAACATGAACTGGATGCTCTCTCATGAATCATCATTTATGTGTTTTGCCTCCATTTCTTTCAGCTACTAAGCATTTAAATATGTCATTTATTTTTTACATTTAGATACTACCTTTTCCTCCAATGAGCTCAAGGTTCTCCGCTCCCTGTTTTATCTTCACAACAACCCTGTGAGGTAGGTAAGGCTGAGAAATGGTGACTGGCTCATGGTCACCGAGTGGGTTTCATGGCTATGAACCCGGGTCTCCCAAGGTCATAGTCAAACACTATAACCATTACACAATACCGGCTCTCTGTGTTACACTAGCCTACCTCATCCATGTCCTACTCTGCAATTCTCCAATTTTCATAGAAATAGAACCACATATTTCACAGATGACAACCAGGAAAAAACAAGAAAGAAAAAATGGCAACAAGGACTATCTGTACTTCTAATTGGCTCTTTCCTTCCTCTGCAGGCTTCACAAACCTCAGCTGTAGAGCAAAGAGGCAAATCTACAGAAGACACCTCACCCAGATGATTCCACACTGAACGAAGCTTTCAAAAAGCACATATTTTACTGTAGATATTTCTGAGAACTCTCTTTTTTGGGGCGATCTTTTCTGTGTTCTGATTTGATAAGCACATTCCAATCATTGTCAACATGGTCTTTTCTCCAATGCAAATGCTGTATGTATTTTGAATAATTTCCTGTGCTCTCTCAGGTAAATCTATGTGTTTAATACTAGCACACGTGTCCTTTTTTGGGAGAAAGGTTTCTGTCATTTTTAAAAAGTTCAGAATGCAATGAAAACCAAATATATTTTTATATGCTAATAACATATTAGCTTGGTGCTGCAGCAGCAAGCATATTTTATACAGCATCTTATAAATGGTAATTTCATTTTAAAGACATACAAGGGGGGGATGTAAACCCAAATAAATTATGCTTGATGTAATTTTCTGTGCAATCTCTTAAACACTGGATTTGGTCACTTATGTTGGTTATCATAAAATGGTGCTCTTATCAATTCAGTATCTTCAGACTTGTAATAATCTCCCTAATATGCCACAATACAGTCTTCTCAATCTCTAGTGCTTCTCTTGTGTCAGCTGAACTTTCTCCTGCTCATGGAAAGAACAGGGAAGCTCCTGCATATTCTTCACATTCAGCGTTTGGAGTCACTTGGTGGCAATATTATAAAACAATGTATTAGAAGTGGGACCCATAACAAAACCTTGCAGCGTGGAATGTTCAGTGTTCCAGTCAGGCCTCCTTCAATTATACTCCATCCCATTCCCCTTCTTTCCCCTTTTGTTTCCCAAAAGACATTTGGGAGCATGTTCAAGTCCACCATGGAGATGGGCCTTTTCTCCGAAATATTGCCTTGACAGGAGCCTATTGAAAACGTGGTGCTATTTGCAGTGCTTTGGGTGATTTTTGCCATTGCTTTCTACAAAATACTGTATGTGTCTGGCAGGGAACTAAGATGCACGTAATGTATGAATCAGTCTCTGCCTGTTTATTTAAGGTTTAAAGTATCTGCCTATAATACGTCAGTATTCCAGGATTTCTCCTATTCACCTCATTTTGAAGCAATTACTGGATTATGACAGTGATTGCTAATGCCACATTCACTTTATATCCTGAGTGGCTGCTCTCTTCCCATTGTGCTTCAAATCCTTGTGTTGTAAATGTCATGATAACACACATGCTATATGCATTTATGTTAGTGCAAAAGGACAGCAAAAAGCAAATTAAATCAACTCGGCAATGATTAGACATACCGGTAATCTATATTTGTAACATACTGAATTTATTTGTTAGCATCTGATCTCCACATTATTTCTAAGCAAACGTATATCTAAAAATAACTGTGCACTTAAACCAGTGTGATACAAATATGTGATTAAAATTTGTATATAAATTAACAACAACAAAAACAGCGGAGCTGCCTAGAACAGCTCTAGACAAGGTTTATTTTACAGATACTTGAATCTTTCTTGAATGGATCCACAACCTTAACTGTTTTGATCCTCTTTAAGGCTCCACCACGAATGGAGAGCTTTTGACTGCAAGATCTGTATCAGCTAGTGGCCCTCCAGTCAATTCAGCAGGTGTACTTTCAACAGTTACTAAGCGACCAGATGCAACCTGGAAAAACAAAACACACTGCTCAGTTATTCTGACAAAATGAAACAAGAGTTCTGTTTTTACAACAATTCCTTGGAAAGGAGACATTCTGAAATTCTCTTCTTTAAAGCATATTTTGAAAGAAATGTAAAAACTATAAAGTTGACTTGTAATTGACTTTCTCATTCATGCTTTATGATTTGTTTTTCAAGAATGCATTCTGAAACACACACCAGAAGCTCATGCCTGTGTGTGTGTGTGTGTATAATGAAGGAGATTGATCATAAATTCAAATCTTATTTCTGCTATCTATGCTTCCTGTCACACTTATTCCTTAACCCCTTATTACTACGGATCTCTAACAAATAAAAATATTTTAGATGCTCTTTCCTCTAACACATAAATTATTGAAGAGGCTGCTTGATACCACAGAGCTTACACTTACATCTCCATGATAGAGCCATAGATTACCTATGATGGTTTCAAAAAGTGTTTCAATATGAAGGTTTGAAAAAGTGTTTCAGTATGAAGGATGAATATTATTGCACGCCACCCCCAGTCTCTGAGCAGTGCAAGATTTCAGGGTTCCAGTTGCTTACCCCGGGTTTGTGTTTCCTTTGGGAATGAGGCACAGCAGAGACTGTGGTGTCTTTATGAAAAACGGTTTACTTACACAAATCTTTATACTCTCCTTGAGACATCTGAATGGGAAGGTGGTCCACAGGGAGGGTACACCACTGAGAAGCCCCTGCCCAGTCCTGAACTCGCTTCTTGCAGTGAAGGAACCCTGCCAGACAACCCTCGGAGGAGGACATCAGTGTCTGGGCTGAGTGGACACTGTCTCTCACGCCCTCCTCAATAGCTTCAGCAAGCATTGGTCCAAAGCATTAGTCAGTCATGCCTCGGGCAGCCTCCTCCAGCCTGCCGCCAAGATGGTCTGTCTTTGTTCTCTTTCTTTCCCAGAATGCCTCCAGATTCAAAAAAGGAACAATTTTCCTAATGACATCATGTGCCCCATCACCTTGGCACCTGCCAGTTATCCTGTCTCTCTGTCCACTCCTCAGAGAGGCGGGGGGGACAGACTGTTATTTTGCATTGCTAATGGACCTTAAGGCTTGGTGCCATTGTTTTCATGTATTTGCACTTAAGCTAAATCCAGAAATTTCCTGCCTGGCAACAGTTCTGCGCTTGTTATTTCCCTTCACGCCCCAAATATATCTAAATACTAGCATTTATAATTAATACATTCACTAACAGACTCTGGACCTAAACAGACACTAAATCTATGAACACTATAAACAGTGGGACTTTTTGAAAACACAGCTGAGGCCGAGTGGCTACAACTGAGTCACTCTTACTCATGATTGATCGGAACCAAAAACGGGTGGTTTGAGGTGCAATTTAATGTTTTGCAGCAGAGTGTATTTTAAATAACACAGTGCTTCAGTACTTATCCTAAAAAAGATGTGTTTCAACCAACTTCTGAGAGGCAAGTCACATAGGAAGTTTGCCTTATAACGAGCGCCAAATTTGTCCATGCTGCGCTCTTATTGAAAGGCAGCAGCCCTCCAACGTCGCCAGACGGGAGCCTTTGCTATCTTGTATTTGAAGGTGGACAGTGGGTTCTTCCAGTTATTTATTAATTTATTTACTTTTTCTTGGGTTATATACCTCCAAGGCAGTTTAACAATGTGATTCAAACATTAAAACAAATGCATTTATTTTTAAACAAAGACCTCTCTTATGCCAATGGGAAGCTTGATGTATATCGCATGCTCCTGGCTTGGCCTCCTTGCTCTGCTTCCCTCAGGGGAAACAGGCCTTCAAGACACCCAGGGAAGGTGGGGAGGAGCTGCCCACATTTCTCTCAGGCCAGCAGTGAGGCTTCCTGCGGATGGAGGCACTTTGCCCCCCCACCAAAAAAATTTTTTAAGTGAGGGCTAGCACCCCTCCATATACCAAGGAGTGACATCACACGAGAATTCACGCGAGTCGGCCTCCTCTCACTTCGGTGGACAAGCAGGTGTTAATGTCTCCAGGTCATAGGTGGTTCTGTGAGGTAGCTATTGATAAGTGTGCTCCATGCCTGGATCCCTTGGGATTGTCTTTGCCCTTCCTGCCTTTCCTCAGGGCACACGTGTGTTTTTATAAAAATACATTCACTAAGTATTACAATCATTTTGACATTTCAAACAACTGAGCTCTTCCCCCTCTTTCTGCGGTCCTTTAATTTAATTTTTAGTATCGATGCAATATCCAACTTAACTAATTTGCTCATTTTCATATTCTTTAATATATACTCTTATAAACTGCAGGTTATTAACAATAATCTCCTACAATGTTCTAATCTGTTTACAATTTATCTTAATTTTCAATAAACCAATTCTATTATTTATAAAAAGTTTTTTATCTTGATTTCTTATTCTTACGGTAAAGTTTCACCATTCTCGCATATTCCATAAGTTTTTGTATCCATTCTTCCTTTGCTGACTTTTGCTTCTTTCCATTTGGGGCAAGTAACATCTTGCCGCTGAGTAGCATACATAAAATTAAGTTTCATAAACAGTTTAGGTAGTTCTGTCCCTATAATTCCCAAAAGAAAAAGCTTCTGGTCCGTCCCCCCAGGTTATATTTAAACATCATTTTCATCATAACACATTCCCATAAGCCCACTACTACAAGACCACCACATATGATAAAAGTAGCTTTCGTTATTTCCAACACTTATTGAATTGAAACATTTGCCAATTTCCAGTGTTAATACTATCGATATATCATTTCATTAATTCTCTAGTCCATAACAACACGAATCTAAATCATATTCCACACCCCCCATGCTCCATGTCTATATAGACCAATATCTATTGCCCCCTGTATCATGAAGATTTTACGTGCTCAACTTTTCTCCATTCAATAATATTTTATGCATTAGACAGCACTTTTACAAATCCAAAGGTCTCTCTCCAGTCAGGCACATTGTCTAGCCATCAGCTATCCGTCAAATAGTACAGAGCAAATGGGCAAGCCTTCCATTGTTCTTCTCCAATTCATTGACGTCATGTGAAGGTCTCCTTCTTACAAAAGCTCTCCAGGCTGATTTTTCAGTGGTAGAGCACACGCTTTGTTATGTAGGAGAGGACTTGTGTGATATTGTGGCTATGACACTCAGTGTACCCAGCTCCTTGATCTCTAGTTGTTCAACACACACAAGCGAAGGAGCACCTGAATGGGGCACTGATAGCTGGCCTTTTTCTTTTATTTTTAATCTAAAAGCAACATTTTTAACTAGCTATTGGCCCTAACCCAACATGTGACAGGAATAACTTGTTTCCTTAGCCTCTGTTGGAGCGCAGGCCAGTTGGACGAATCAGAACTAACATCTCTTTTTGTTGACAGTAATGTTTCAAGTTGTAAGCCAAAGACTGTAGGGGAGTGAGTCATAATGTTGTATTGTTTTAAGTACC